GATAAAGTAGAATGGTGTTTGCCAAAAATTCTTGCTACTGATAAAGGGAAAAATTCTGCTGCCATAAATGTTTACTTAAGTGCTCTGAAAAACAAGCCTATTGAAATTCTGATAGCTCACAACTTAGACGTTAAATTGGCGAAGCGAGTCAAAAACAATTTGGCCCCTATATCTAGATGCAGCAGTATACAAAATATAAGTGGATAAGATTGTATCTTTGAAAATAATCTGCCTATATATGCAAATTTACACACAATAATGCTGCACAAAATAGATATTAAGGCCTTGTATTTGAGCTAGAAAACACTAAACAGACACAGCTTCTTCGAAATGCCCTCCTCAACAATTAAGACCCTGATTAAAAATTGATTAATGGGATTTGAAAATAACTTAAAATACTGCATCAGATTTCAAAGTACCTAACGGAAGATACCCTCCATTACTTCGGTTTTGTTTATTGATAAATTGTTTAAGAGCTGGAGATAGTGCAAATCATGTGATGACTGATCCATGCACACCAGTCAATGAATTCCTTGCAATGCATGCTTGCTTAAATGCACCTTTTAGTCAAGAGGCGGTCAGTGAATACGAATCCAGTGGCAGAACTGACGTTTCTCATGCTGAGTGATAAGTCTACCCTGGTCACTGTACTTCGTTCATCATATTACCAGTATAGAGCATTCTTACACAATCACTACACTCGTTCCAAGAAGTGAAGGCCAAAGCTAGAGAGATAAACATACTACGCTAGTGGCAGTGTAGATGAGTCTCTCTTCATTCAATTTAGGACCGGATTTTCAATAATGATCTCTGGTTCTACATCCAACGCTAGAACCTTCACCGATTCTACGTGCGCAGCCGCAGAATGTATTCTCGGCCGCTGTAGAGCTTAAAATAACCCCGATGCTTAGTTGGAAGAATGCTGTACTACCTTAATTCGACTCAGCATTGTCCAAGAAAGTCACTCAACAGATTGCGGTTCTGTCACTGCCAGAAGCAGGCAAAGATGGGAAAACCCCACGAAGAAGCTGCAACATCTAGCGTAACTGGATTGCCTTCCAGTTCACACACACAGTTCGCCCACTCACTATAGTTCCGAAGTTTGACGACATCGATAACAGCTCAGGGAGGTGGTAAAATGCAAAAGGATCTCGAGCTACGATAATCGCAATAGGCGCCTATACCCAACAACCTAATATCAAGCTTTTAAATGCTACGCCCGTCATTAAGTGAGTCTTTTATTCCGCAGTTCTGCATGCTTCCAAACGGCCTCTTTTTATGCCTGTATAATTGAAAGGACGTTCATAGGATTTCAACTTGGGCTCTGGCGCAGCCAGTTTTTTTTCACTATCTACCTGGCCACCTTCATTGGAGCGAAAGGAGACGACAGCGGAGGCTTCTTTAAAGGAAACATGGCGAAGAAAATCCGAAAAATCATATTTATTATAGGTCCATAATTGATCTGCCAAAGTTAAAGCTATCTTCAATTGTGTGGAGGCACTTCCTTACCCGCAAGGATAATAAAGTAATGAAAGACCTTTTGCTTCCTATGATAGGCATCGGTGATGCCTGCAATGCCTTCTTCGAAGCTATAGCTATAGCCCTAATGAACTTGGATGACCTCAATGCGCCTCTTACCCATATCACTGTTACTGGTTTAACATGCAAATATACCCTAATAAAAATGGTTCGACCTCTGGAAAATACAATAGATAGGATGGAAACTAGACCGATGTGTTAGCTATTCAAATGCTTACCATTTCCTCTGCCGGCGAGGCTGAACAGACGGCGTGAAGCCGTCAAAGCCAAGGAAGGTTGAAATTCTGCTACTGCATCTTGACTACGGGGGGCTAAGCTCAGTAACTAAGACAAACGCTTTCACGCTATCCCACGGAGACGAAACATAAGACCCCTATATTGATCAATGTGATTTTCCACTGGAGAATTTCAATCAGAATACTAACTCGTAGAAGTGGCAGAAGTGAATAAGGCGAAGAAAGCCTTCATATTGCTATGCATCCCAATGAATCTCAGACAGCGCATTTTGGATTCCGTAATGCAACGTCTAATTTTGTCGCCTTAAGCAAATTGTGAGATTTGAATTAATTCCCTAACGTCTGGATAACGTTCCTGTTTTCGGCGTGGATGCCCAGGAGCATAGCTTCGATTTGAGAATGGAGATGGTACTCTGCGAAATGCAGGCCTGACTTAAATGAGAGTTGCTCTAGTTTTAGCAATGCCCGGTCAACTTCATGGTACAGTGTCTGGAACAAGGCAAGAACTGAATGTGTGAAACTCTGTGGTCTTTGTCTTGAGCATGAGCTGATAAAAGCACTGATCACGATTCCATTGTTCCTTCTGATATAGACACACCTCGGTAGGAGTGGAGTCGCTACTTTAACTGCTTTCCATTCCCTTGGAAATCAGAGCATACCAATCCCAGTCCACCAGATTTGAGCAATTGACTATGTTCCTCTGATTGTGTTACATGCACTATGGCCGCAACCAATGGAGAGATGTTAATTTCAGTAAGAGTGTAAAGGAATTTCACGAGACAACCCATTCCGCTAGACTCATCCATGGTCGCATTTATACCGGCTGCAATAATTGCTAGTTGGTGAGGTGCAAGCCATTCCACGATGGCTGTCCAAACGTCCTTAGAAAGTAGCAAAAATCATCATCCTGCTCATGCACTAGCAGAAGTCAAATTCATCTCGTTTGCCTGGAAATACAATCATTTATTCAATGTGTCCAAGCAATGCCCATGCTAACTGCATACTCGTTCGTTGGAATGTAGTTGGATTCTTAACATGTGTTGATTCCAGTTGTAGTAAATGTTTACACTTCGAAATCGTGTTTCGATTAAGGTACAACGTACGGTGAGATATTGGTCTTGCGGACAATTTTTAAACGTCGAAGGACTATTAACTGAAGCTGGAGATGGATAGACGAACATTTCTACTTAACGAGACTACATACGTTGCGACCAGTGGCAGGATATCGTGGAAATTTGACTTGTTATTTTGGTCAAATTCCATTAAGCAATAGCTGCTACTGGAACGAGGCCACCTGATCTAACTTTATAACTCCATAAGAGGTAGAGTTTTAGGGTTATCAGTAAGCGGATGCTAAGGATATAGACGACAATGTTGTCTGGTTCAAAGCTTCAAAGATGAAGCAATCCATTAACCATTGTGACGCAGCCGGATTTCAAAGTAAACAGTCTATTATTGTAAATAAACCCAGTTCAAGAATAATTGGCTGTCGAGGACCTTTAAAGATGTAGCGCATGCTTGTAACTGCTCTCACGTGTAAATTTAGTGTCACTGGGTCTTTGTGTACTTTAATTTTCTAAATCGCGGAATTTAAAAAAAAACATTCAGAAATAAATGTCAGTGAGCAAACTTTGGATTTGTAACCCATGAAATCAAGTTTTATTAAGAGAGGCATATATACTCACTAGATTTCGCATAAGTGGCACTATTAAGGTGGGCTTGATTGAATGGCCAATTATCGTTATCGGGTTATATGAGTTGAAGTGAACAAAGTGAATATCCGCCTATTCTACATATTTCCACAGTGGCTGGCTATTCAAGAGGGTGAGTAAAATGAAAACTCTGACACCCAATTCTGTTTAGTGAGCCAAATTCCTATGTTGGTGTTGATCTGTCCTGCGTGAAAAATAGTGGTCTGCTATCTTAACGAACCACCTAAATTTCAACAATTTGTTCCACCCTATCTCAGGGAGGTAATCCAATTCGGATCAGTGAATTGGAATAAAATTTGATAAAAATGAAGGCGATTATGACAAAGTGCTATAATTGTCATGCAGCAGTAATCCACAATGAGAGGTAGCACTAATGTTAGTAAAGCGAAAGTAAATAATGAATTCTGCACCTCGGCAGCATAGAAGCCTGTTGTGAAAAAGAGTTGTTAAAAAACACAATTTTATGAGTTATGATACTGGATAGAGCAGGAGCAGTGGGTAAGTTGCAGTGACTTACACGAGCGTTCGAGAAAGGACAACCATCATGCAGCCGAAAAAGTAAAGTCATTAGTGGGCTTTCTTTCTACTCTGGCTATGCAAACAAGACATTCAGCTAAGTATGTCAAACAGAACATGTGCTTCACTCAAATGTAAACTGTATAGTAACGAGCGGTGACGACTGCCCCATAGTGGTGAGTTTAACAATGTTGTCTTTGAAAATGAAACAGGAAACATTACTGCGGATAAGCGTTAGTAGAAACGTTCTTTGGCTTGCAAATGCACAGCATGATAACACGCAGTAACTTACCAGTGCGCGGTGCCTCAATATTTTCGGTGAAATCTAAAATAATCTTTTTCGCTATCACTGCTTCTACAGTCATTTTGCATAATGTAGAGGTCTTCAACCCGCAAAGAGTGAGTTGTCCATCCGGAAATTGTGCACTTTGTCTTTTGAGGACTGAGGGGTCAGAAGTATGCAACACTTTTAAAAAATGGTTGTTCCTTTGAGGTGAGGCAAGCCTCGGACATCCCAACGAAAGCGAATGCTCTAAGAACCCACTCGACTCAAATGGAAGTGTTTGTAAAGCTCAGTCTCTCTTGCCCTTATCCCTACTAAAATGGGGAATATGTTAGTAAGCCAAAGCTTTCCAGGCATTTCGTTTCATCTTGCGGCAGAAAAGGAGCACATTTACACTAAGCGCGACGATCAAATAAGCAATGGGTAAGGGGACTTCACTAATATTTGTCCTCTTGATGCAACTGAAAATCAGTATTGCTCTTCAATGTTGATTTGTAGACCATAATTCTACCTAGATCTGTGAAACATTGTGAAGTCTGACAATATTACTTGCATGTCATTGCATGAGAATCCTACAACAGGGGGAGTTGTAAAGGA